GATGAGCCTGATCAAATGCAGCAGGCCTTGGACAGTGTGTAGCAGAGTGCCTGGCCCTGGTCAGCACTGTATGACGGTTGGCTGCTATTATTGTTGTCATTGGCTTATCCAAGGTGTGAGTGGATTTCCTTGGAATCCCATCCCACAGGGCCTTTGGGCAGTTAGTTAATTAGCAGAGGGCCAGGGCACCCATGCCTGGCCTCTGGCATTACTCCTCAGCTGCCTATCAAAGCTTCAAAGGGACTCTCTTAGTGTCCTTTTATTGCAAGACACAAAAACTCATCAGGAAAGGAAATACCTGGGAGAAAGAGAACTGGAGGGCCAGCAGTAATCCAGGTTGCTTCTTTCTCCTCTCCCTCTGCAGTTGGCTTTCCTGCTTCAGTGTGTGCCAGTCCAATGTGGCAGGTTCCCTGGGCCCGAGGTTACCTGCTGCAGAGAGCTGCTGGGGGCTTCTGACAGTCACTGGCATCCTTCCTGTTGTCAAAGCCTCCATTTGGTCCAGGTGTCTTCACCAACCCCCAGGTGACTCCAGGTGAGTCCTGAGAGTCTACGCCCATTCTGAGGGTCCTTGCCCATGACAGGCATATGACCCAGTTCCGGCAAAGGAGGTATCGAGGAAGTTTACTGGGAGCTTCTGGGAAAGATTTCGTCACTGATGAAAAGGAGACCCGCGGGAAGATGGGAGAGCATGGAGCCTGGGGGATGATGAGTAAGGAGGCTGAGCTCATGAGAAGAGCCCACCCCCTTCGGAAGTCCGGCATGTCCTTGCAGAGAAGGCTGGACTGCATGAGGGGACAGCGGTGACCCACTGAATTGCTGACTTTACAATAGAGAGAATGGATTAAAGGGGGAGGGTTTGGGAGCAGGATACCAGTTAAGAAGCAGCCAGATGAATTGCAATCATGCTGAGGCTTAAAGGGAAGTTTCTACAAGCTGCAGCACAAGAGGAGATGGGGTGATAGGGAGGTAGAATTGCTGGCCGGCTGTTCCCAGGGGTCTCAAGAACTTGTACCCCAGTGCTATGATGTCCTCAGAAGCTCTGTTCTCGGCTGTCTACACACGTCCAGTTACACTGGTAACTCAGGTAGAAACACATTTCCAGAATGAACGTTTTTCAGGAAATGGGACAAAACTGTTTTATTTAAACTAATGGTCCAACTATCCAATTTTGCTTTGCGCTACGTGAGCATAATTTGTCTGCCACACAGACCTGATTCAACCTTCAGCGGGGCTGGGCCAGTATGTCACCAGTGAAACCTACATGCAAGACACATCCCTTCCCGGTGACTCATGTGCACCGTTTCAGGAAAGGCCAGGTTGAAAGTGCACGTATGTGATTTACTGCTGACTTTCACAAGAGTCATACAGCAGAGACGTTGCTCAGCTCCTCACAGGTTTAGAAACGAGCCCACATTAAGAGTAAGTCGGGGCCGGGCACAGTGGCTCACGCCTGTGATCCTAGCACTGTGGGAGGCCGAGGCAGGCAGATCACTAAAGTCCGGGATTTTGAGACCAGCCTGGGTAACATAGCAAGACCCTCATATCTACAAAAAAAATTTAAAAATTAGCCGGGTGTGGTGGCGCATGCTTTTAGTCCCAGCTGCTCAGGAGTCTGAGATGGAAGAATCACTTGAGTCCAGGAAGTGGAGGCTGCAGTAAGCCGAGATTATGCCATTGGACCCCAGCCTGGGTGACAGAGAAAGATCCTGTCTCAAAAAACAAGTCAGTAGGAAGAGAGAGTGACCTGCTCAGGACCAAGCAAGGGAAAAGAGTAACAGATGGCGGAGAACAGAGCAAGCAAGGGAGGACATAGGGACAGATAATAGGAGGATATGCTCCTGGTGGACAATACAGGTGGTTCCCAGCCAACTTTATTATCAACACATCCTCACTGAAAAATAAAATTACCTCCCCAACACACACACACACCCGCCTCAGTTTCTAAGGGTAACCTGTTTAGTTTGATTCCTCCCATAGTCTTTCTGTACTTAATCAAATATATATATACACACACACACACACACATATATATGTGTATATGTATACACACATTTTAAAAGATGTAGACATATATGTGTGTGTGTGTGTGTCTGTATATATATGTCTACATCTTTTTAAAAAGTCATTTGTGAGCTGGGCATGGTGGCTCATGCCTGTAATCCCAGCACTTTAGGAGGCTGAGGTGGGTGGATCACTTGAGGTCAGGAGTTCAAGACCAGCCTGACCAATATGGTGAAACCCCGTCTGTAGTAAAAATACAAAAAATTAGCAGGGCATGGTGGTGTACGCCTGTAATCCCAGCTACAGGGAGGCTGAGGCAGGAAAATCACTGGAACCCAGGAGTCGGGGGTTACAGTGAACTGAAATAGCCCCACTGCACTCCAGCCTAGGTGACAGAGTGAGACTCCATCTCAATAAATAAATAAATAAGTAAATAAATAGCTATTTGTGTAGTATCATCACATTTAGTGTCCTTCTCAGTGAATGATACATCTTGGACATTCTTTCACATCAGATAGCTCTACCTCATTCTTTCTGGTGATTTCATAGTGTGCCAGCACGAGTCTATGCCACAATTTACTTAGCATAGCTCCTAGTGCTGGGCATTGAGGTTGGTGACCATTTTTCACCATTACAATTAATCAGCAATGAAAACCCTTGGACGTATATTCCTGAGCACATGTGTGAGTTGTTCTGCATGATGATCTATTTCTATAAACTGATTTTCCAGCCTCACTTTCATTGATGTGCCTGGAAAGTCAGTAGCATGACAGACTTGGGTCTTGGTCACTGACCAGGGACAGTCGAATATTTTTCAACACTGTCATTATTTACCCATTCAGCCAGAAAGAATAAAAATGTAATGCCACGGGAATTCTCAGAACAGCATCCTCTCCTCTTTGAATTCAGGCTTTCAGAACTAGACAGGCTAATGCTCCCAACAACTCATGTTCAGGCCACACTGGGCACTTTGTCACATACTAGTTCACCTGATCCCCGAGTTAGCCCTGGAAAATGGGTATTATTAGCATAGAGATGCTAATAATTTTTTTGATACATGAGGAAACTGAGGCTCACAGAGGACAAGACATCTGCCCAAGGTCACACAGCTCACAAATGGCAGAGGATTCAGAAACCAAAGACGAAGGTGATGGAATCCTGCCTTCTTTCCAAATCCATGACGTAGGCTATATCATGGTGCCTCTTCAGAGGTTTACCGTGAACAGTTAGCTAAAAAAGCAGGTGCAGTGAACATCTGCCTAGGTGACTGAGTTTGCAGGATGTATTAGTTTCCTCCTGCTGCTGTGACAAATTGTCCCAAACTTCATGGCTTAGAACAACACAGTTAACTATCTTCTTACAGTTCTGGAGGTCAGATGTCCAAAACGGATCTGCAAATGCCTTCCCACCTCCAAATCATAAGGCAGACCCAAACCTGCCTTTTTGTGGACGCCAAGAGCTCCTTCTGGATGCTCTGGCTGAGACTACATTCCTTTCCTTTTCTAGCTCCTAGAGGCTGCCCACATTCCTTGGCCATTGATCCTTGTCCAGCAACTGTAGCATTCTGATCTCTACTTCCATCATCAGGTCTCTCTCTCTAACTGTGACCCTCCTGCCTCCTTTTTGTAGGAACCCTTGTGACAACACTGGACCCACCAGGAAGATAAAGGATAACCTCCCTGTCCCAACATCCTTAACGGGATCCCATCTGCAAAGTCCCTTTTGCCACATAACCAGTTCTGGGGATCAGGTTGTGAACATCTTTGGGAAGCTATTATTCTGCCTGTCACCTAAGGGGGTTCCTAGCAGAGTGATTTAGAGCGAGGGCCCTGCAAAGACCTCAGATTCAAATACTTTATCACTTGCTAGCAGATCCAGTACCTAACTTCTCCGAGTCTTAACAGCCTCACCTGAAAAACTGGAATAATAGAATCTTCCTTCTAGGGCCGTTTTGAGTATCAAGTAACACAATGTATGACATGCACGTGAAACACAGTGTTCAATAAAAGGTAGGGAAGTTTCAGAGAAACTAACATGTAGAGGGAGAGGGCTGTGGAGGGGAGGAGGATAAGGAGAAACATGCTTTCTTTGGTAGCTTCTTCAGTTTTGCCTGGGCCTCAGCTTTGGCTGAGAATTTCGTCAGCCACTCCCCAGATCAGCCAGGGTGAGCCTGCTTAAATGGAACACTTTGAAGATGATATCCTGTGATACACAAGACCTGCCCAGTTGGGTCTGCAGTAGAGTGGGGCGGGTCTGGGATGATCCTGGCATGGAAAAGTACAGCAGCTCTTTGCCTTCAGATTAGGAGCTGGGACTGCAGTTCTGACATTATCACCCTCCTGCCCCCACCCCAGGCCTCTCCAAAGTCCGTCTTGCAGAGTCAAACGAAAACCAGATTCCTGGTCTTATCTGAGAGCTATGTGACTGTTTCCTGTCACTCCTTTGGAGCCTGGGAAGGTCCCCACATGCATTGTCTAAACTTTAGGATGAATACACACAGCTCTTAAATGGGAGCGTATTATTATGAGTACATGCCTACACAAAGGGTTCTCCCCATTCGCTAAAATCTGGGTTATTATTTGGGGCTTTCATTCATCCAACAAATATTCATTCAGCATTTGCAGGTGGCCAGGCAAGGTGAAACTTCTCCCAGGGTGGAGAGTATGTGCAGACAGTAGGAATTATGCTATGGGAGGGAGAGCAGAAGCTCTGGAGTGGACCAACCTGGGTCTAGATCCTGACACTTCCCAGCCGTGTTTTCATTGGGCAAAATGACTTCACCTCCTTCAGCCTCAGCTTTCTCTTCCATAAAGTGGGCATGACCAATAACCGCCTCCCAGGTTGTGAGGATTAAATGAGATGGTTCAGGGGATGTCGGTGGTAACCCCGTGCGTGGTTCATAGTAAGTAGGTGAGGAATAGCAGTTGCTGTTACAGACATGGAGACTGTTTCCCCAAATGTCTTCCCACCCCCAAATCATAAGGCAGATCCAAACTTGCCTTTTTGTGGACGCCAAGGTTCTGTTGAGCTGTTAGGGTGCAAGTTAAGAAGCCAGAATAGCGGCGTGGGGAGAGAAATGCCCACATGTTTCCACTCTGCAGGTATACACACGTGGACACCATATGTACCCATGAATTCCGCCTTTGGAAGTGAACTTGATTGCAGCCTATTTTCGTCTGGAGGCGGTGGATTCCCGGTAGGAGGCGCCTTCGGTCCTCGGCTTGATCCTGTGACGCCCGCCAGCTGCCTATCTGCTTCTCAGTGTTTGAACTCCAAAGGGCTGGACGCTGACCCAAGAAGGGGACCCCGGCCTGACCTCTCTCGAAATTCAAAAAAAATCTAAGGTTGAGCGAGGGAATGGGAGCTGGCTCCTCCCTCTGTGTTTAGAATCCACGTTTTTTGGCGGTCTGGCTGAAACCAGCCCACCCTAGTTCGGGCGCCAGAGCAATGCGGTTCCGAGGGCAAATCTCCAAGGGGCGGAGGCAGAACCGCGGGTAAGAGGCGTCCGCGCAGACTTCGGGTTTGCCCTCCCCGGAGCCAGGACTCGGCCGCAGCTCTGGGCCTCCCTGGATCCGAACAGAGACTGGCTGCCCGTCTGCCACTCGCGGGCTGGGAGAACGCCAGCCGGTGCCTTGCCGGGAAAGTTCTCGGCAAAGCTGGGGATGAGCCCTCAGCAGGGGAAGCTCCCGGTGGAGCGCGCCCCCATCCAGTGCCCGCGCGCAAGAACCCGGAATGGGCCCCACCTGGACCGGGACTCAGGCGTGCGAGCCCGAGAGCTCCCTGGGGACCAGGCATCGGGTGGGGACCCTGGACGAGGGGGTGAGCTGACTCGGTTTTTAAAAACTCGCTTCCTCCTTCCCTACTTCTGCCCATCACTCACCTCGCTGGGCACCAGCCCAGGGCAGAAGTGGGAGAAGGAGGCGGTGGCCTCCCCAGGAAGGAGGAGAGGTGAGTGTCTCGCCAGGTAAAGGCTGGCGGAGCTGTGCCTCGGCGTCTGCGCCTGGTGTGGGACGGAAGCGGGTCTCCCAGCTCTACTTAAACCCCTAAAACCTGGGACTTCTGGCTTGAGACATTCCCCGACCACCACCCGTCACACACACGCGCGCACATACACACGCATGCACACCGATTATCTGGGCCCTAGGGAGGATGGGGGAGCAGGGCTCTATTTTCTCCCGGCCCCATCTTATCCAACTCGGCTGGCAAGGGTGGGGAAGAACTTAGGCCCAGCCCCCGGCCCGCACTCAGCGTACTCCAGCGGCGTACGCTGGGGAGTGGGTGCCAGCCCCGCTCAGCTGCGATCCCTCGCCTCGGGCCCGGGGGTGGCGCCGAGGGCCGGGAGGGAGGGTCGGCCGGTGGGCGGTGCTTCTCGGGGCTGGAGGCTGCTCCCGGCCGGCGCCGCCCTCCGCCTCCTGCGGTCTCTCCCTCCCTCACGCCGGCGCTCCCAGGCCGTGCTTCCTGCGTCCCCATCGCGGTCCCCGAGAGGGCAGTTCGCCCTCTCCGCCACCGCGTTCCCTAGGCTGAGAATCCCCCGAATTCCAGCCCCGCGATCGCGGCGCCCCCCGAGGAGGTCGCCCGGGTGGGGCGCGGGGGTCGCGAAGCCTCCAGCCCCGGGCCGCCCAGCCGAGACGGAGCCGGACCCGCCGCCTCCCGGGTGAGTCTGAGCCGCCGCGCCTTGCGCCCGCCGCTTCCCGCGGAGCGCTGTGGGTTCCCCTCCGGGCCGGGTAAGGGGGCCGAGGCCCGTCTGGGTCGCCTGTCTGTCCGTCCGTCCGTCCGCCGAGTGCTTCCCGTCTGGGGTCGACCACCTGGAGGAATCCGCACCCCGCACCCTCTGCGGCCGCGCCCCGCCGGTGCAGGACACTCCCGCCTCCCGGGCACCGCGCCCGGCCAGCTGGCCTCGGCTGGGGAAGGCAGCTGGCCTTGGGGGCCCCCTGTTGGCGGGGACAGGTGCTCTCCGCCCGGCGGGCTTCGAACCCTTGGCCTAGTCAGAAGCGCTTTCAGCGCGTGGTTAGGAGCAGAACTTCCTAGTAGGTCCCAGGAAACCACCTTGGCACTTTGCTCGCGCATCCCTTACTCTATGGAAGTCGGGCCCTTTTAGGCATTTAGATTCGCATGTGTGTGCGCGCGCGCGCGCGCGCGCGTGTGTGTGTGTGTGTGTCGCTCTACAAGCAAACACGGGGGTAAAGAATCTGGCGTGAACAAAGTGGATTTAAAGTCCTTCCCTGAGCGCATCGATCGGTTTCTTCATCTGTGAAATGGACATGATAACGTCCCAGGGTGCAGTGGGGCATTCATGCCCAGCACCCAGCAAGCACTCCGTGGTAAGTTAGGTTACGCATAAATCAGATCTCAAATCAGCGCACAAACGGGAGGCGCTTGGCCCGGCGCGCCAGGTCTGCATTACAGGATAATGGTCTCTTTCCCAACCAGGGGTGGGGGCGAGAGACCTGACCCCTCCCCCACGGTTTCCCCAGGGAGCAGCCGTGGGGTGCCCTGCGCAGCGTTCCGAGGTGCCTGTGACGGTGCGTGGTACTGCACGTCCTTCCCAACAGAGCGGGAGGTCTGGCTGCTGGCAACTCCGGCGCTGCCGGAGTAGGGTGGGCGGGGACGAGGTGGGCGGGGCCGGGACCCGAACCGGCGGAGGTAGGTCAGCGGGTGGAAGGATTGCCCCTCTAGGGCCAGCCGGCTTCTGGCTTTCCTTTTGAATGGGCTACCTGGAGAACAGCTTGTCTAGGGAACTGTTGGCCCTGAACTGTGAACAGCTTTCACACCCCGGAAACCTGTCGCAGGAGGGTCCTGACCTATTGGGACAGAGCCCCTGTCCCTCCAAATATCTCACTCCACCCATTGAGAGGTAACCATTGGGACAGAGCCCCTGTCCCTCCAAATATCTCACTCCACCCATTGAGAGGTAACCCCAGACTAGGAGAAAAGGCCAAAGAGAGAGAAAAAGAGGAGGCTGGTGGTGAATCTGCTCCTCATGGCTTCGGAGCTGACAGCTCCCTGTTCGGGTATCTGGGGTCTCCCCACTGATCCAGAGCCCAGGAGTCTCAGGGAACCCCTAGCCTAGGGAGGGAGTCAGGGATACTTATGACAAGTGTTGCAGAATTGGCGAGACAGTCAGGCCACACCACTTGCTGGCTGTGTGACCTGATCTCTCTGAGCCTCAGTTTCTTCATCTGTAAAATGGGATGATGACCTCCAACAGCAAGGTGGGGTATTTGTGCCTAGCACATTTAGTACTCTATAGTAAGATATGTCACAGGGCTTATGCAAGAACAGAAGAAAGGAAATAACTCAGGAGGTCCTGCTAAGAAAAGAGTATTGGAGTATTCATCAGGGAACTGGAGTCCCCCCAGGGGACAGTGGAGGAAGGGTGTCTGGGCAGATGGAAACGCACAGGCAAAAGCACAGAGACAGAAGAGTGCCTGGAGTGTGCCGGGCTGGGGAAGGTGCTCAGGCAGTGGAGGGTGCGGAAATGTAAAGGGAATGGAGGCTCTGGAGTGAGCTGGACTGGACAGGTGGGGCCTTTCTTGGAATCATTCAACATATGTTGGCTGAGCACCTTCTGTGGGCCAGGCACTGTTCTAGGTGCTCAACAAAGATGAACGACATGGAGAAAGATGTCCCTTTCATTCAAGTTGTCTAAGCAGGGAAGTCATCTGATCCCATCCATACATGAAGAAGATAATCCTGGCTGCCTGGAAGTAGGTGAGGATCCTGGAGAAGACTCCTAGGAGAGAGAGGCTGGCCTGTGGGTTGGTGGGGGTGGTGGGAATGAATGGGGGAGCTGGATGGGAGGCCAATACAGGAAGCAGAGAGTAACATGTGGCCTTCACTCATGACTGCTAGTCAAGGGTAAGACTCTGGGGTTCTACATGAGGCCCAGACTGCCAGCCTGGTCTTCTGCCAGAGAGAAGTAGTGAGTGAGTGTCTGGGATATTGGCAGGACCCAAGCCCCTCCAGCTGCGACTTTCTGGTTCTGTGGCTCCAGATGTCACGAGGCCTGGGAGTTTCTCTGTCTGCGTGAGGGATGGGAAAGCTGGAGCAGAGGCCAGCTGGAGCTTCTGAGGCTCCCGCTTTAATAGGATGTGTTTCTGGTCAGTGTTCCTCCCTCCCTCTGCAGGGCTGGCTGTAAACCCCTCAGACCTCTTGGGCTGGAAGAGGCCAGAGTGTGAGGAGCTTTAGTGTGGATTCTCTTCCTCCAGCCCCAAATTAAGGTGGGAGTCATGGGAACGAGAAGCATTGTCTCCCTCGGTGCCAGGAAAGTTGCAGAAGTTTAGATGCCTTCTGACTTGGGATGTGGTATGGGGGCTGCTTCTGGCCGCTGACTTTTGCTTTCGCTTTTGTTTCTGCTCTGAAGCTTGGAGGAATCCTCCTTGCCGTGAAAGCTGTGAGAATATCCTCCTCCATGCTTTAAGTCTCCCTTTGCTTGGAGGGAAGAGGAAGATCCTAGAATGTCTCAGGTGCGGAGGACCTTCAGGTCATCAGAGACATCATTCTCATTTGACAAACAAAACTCAGAGAGGGGATGGAACTTACCCAGGGACACACAGCAGTTCAGCAGCAGAACTGGGACTGGAACCCAGCCCTCCTGACTCCCTTCTAGGGTCCTTTGTGTTCACCTAGGAGGCCTGGCCACATTTAGGACCAAGCCTCTTTTGGGCCCCAGGTTTCTCAACCTCTCAGTCTTTCAAGTGGCTCCGTGGAGTAGAGCTCCTCCCCAGGCTGGACAGGTGGCCCAGCCTACCCTGCCAATGTTTTATTCTCCCTTCGCCTGGATTGAGCCCTCGCTGCCATGGCCACCCCTCCCGGGAGCTCTTGCTCCTGAGAAAGAAACCGGTCATTTGTTTGGAAGAAACAAGCCACCTGTTTGGTTTCCCAGTACCAGGCCACACAGCCCTGTCCCTCCCAGACGGCCCCAAGATGCTGACCAGAGATAGCCCTCTGAGGGTCTCTCCTGAGCTCCCCTGACCCTCGACTCCTCCTCCCCTCAGCTCCCGCCTCAACACTGCTGGTTTGCCCTCGCCTTCTATCTGTGATGTTTACTTGGGCGGAGCAACCTGAAGTCTCCACATTCTCTCTTGCCCTGGATTTATCAGACTTAGCAGCCCTTAAACCTGAATGCTGGAAGCTTTAGATCTTAGAATATCAGGGCCAGAGGGATCTTAGCCGTCAGAAAATCCACTCTGCTTATTTGACAACTGGGGAGACCAAGACCCAGGGAAGAGGAGACTCGCCTGAGATCACAGCGGGGACCCGAATCCGAGGTTCCGGAGTTTGTCTCGAATGATTTTGAGGATGATTCTTGAAAAACAAAACAGAGCACCCTCCCCCTCCAAGATCCCCTTTCTCTCTGCACTCCACACTACCAGGTGTTTTTGTGGTGTCTCTGGTGACATGGCCAGGAGGAGTGAGGGCTGAGGGTCCTGAAAGATGAGGCGTGCACATTGAGGAGTGTATCTGCGCATTTCCAGGTCCTGTCTGTTCAAACTGGCATTAACACCATGGCAGGAACTAGTGAGTGCATTTATCTGGCACTCCCTTAGCCAGACTTGATAATGTGCCTTTGGATGGCAGGCTTTTAAAGTTGTTTTCGTCCCCCGATTACAAAAGAAGTACGTGTTCCTTGTAAAAAACGAGCAGATGACATCGTGAAGGCTGGCGACCACCGTTAATATTGTGGCGTTTTATTCAGGTTTTTGTTTGCTGAGCTGTTTCATGTCCTGGTTTGTTGTTGTTTTGTTTTTGAAAAAATAGAGACAAGGTCTCTGTGTGTTGCCCAGGCTAGTCTCGAACTCCTGGGCTCAAGTGATCCTCCCACTTCAGCCTCCCAAAGTGCTGAGATTCCAGGCAAGAGCCACTATGCCCAGCCCGTATCCTGGTTTTTCAATTTATCGTTACAGTGCCTGTTATCTTCATGTGATAATATGAGTGACTTCACACAG